CCCCTTGTCTGTAATTGCAAAATCCAGCACCCAAATTAGCAGAAACAAAATGCATATCCTTCCCTATCAAGCTCCGTTCCAAAGAGCTCTGGGAATAATATTGGGAATAATATTTTGAGAAATTTCAACTTTTCCTTATGGCTTTGCAGCCCCAGTATTTTCTCAAGACAAATATTTTCTTCAGTACCTACTCACTGCTTTCACAGAAATGCCAGTGCAGTCACACAGGGCCTGTAGTTATGTTTGCTGAGCAAAATAGGGTTCCTTGGGAACTTTCCTCTCTTTGAAAATAGGATAGGATCTTGGCTTCCCACTGAACTTTTCCGGTCTGAAGAATGAGGTGTCTATGAATGCAGATAACCAACATGTTTCTGCAATTACAGTTAATCATACAAGCCCTTGACAAGGAATCTGCACCCTCGCACACACATCTGCCCATATACATTTCAAGTTATATATTTGTTTCTAGGGGTGGGGGAAAGACAAGGGTGATTCTACATTGTACAAACAAAAATCCATCAACATGCATTTTGCAACTAAACTACATCAGCAAACCTTAGGCGATTTCAGGCACATTTTCATAATTTGCTCCGTCTGGAATATTGGATGGGAGCTGAGAAATGTACAGGCGAAGAACACCTGTTCTTTGCATGCGGTGCAAACGGCTGCGGGGGGGGGGGGAGCTCCCTGTGGATCTGCAAGTGCCTTTTGTGAGGAGGTGGAAATGGCCCTGGGATATTGTGGCATCGTGCATCATGCCACGTCATGTTTCAGCCACATGGGATCCAGCTCAGACTGCACACCCAGGTTCACATGGAAAGCTATCCTGCTCCAGCTGAACTCTCTCTGCTGCTTCCCATGATAGTGGACATCTGTAATTACTAGTATTCATTTCTCTCCTCAAATGTTTCCTGTCAGATGAAAACCATTAGAACACACTACGGAAATGATCAAAAGATTATTTCAAAATCAAATGACTATTTCTATTGGCCTGCTCTTTTTTCAGTTAATGTTCAGCTAGGAGAGCAAGGGCTGTGAGCACCCGGAGCGGACGGCTGTAAAAATGTGTTTACAGCCACTCTGCTAGCTGGCCAACGTTTTCTTCTAGTTCAACTCCGATTTGCATGGGGATGCTTCTTTAATGCTGCCTCCCTTTTCTCCTCCGCTTATACTTGCTTTTCGGCACAAAGAGCAGAGCTTTCCCCCTTGCTTCTTCCAAGAAAAGGAACATGTTTTCCCCCTTGCTTCTACTTTCAGTCCCTGGGGCCCAAATGCAGCATGGTTGAAGCAAGAAAACATGAACAGGAAAAGTGTTAGAACTATTGGTGGGCTAGGCTAAGGTGTGGATAAAAACATTTCTACTTCTGCAGCTGAAGTGTAGAGAAACATTACAGTACCGTGTGGCAGAACAAAACAGAAAAGCTCACCCTTAGGGTAACATGGTCCTCTCTGCCCGCACATGGAAGATCTGAAATGTTCCCCATCTTCTCCAGGAAAGGTGAGATACACCCTTTATTTCATTGGCTTCAATATCAATCACAACAAACAAACAGTTATGTGCAGTATACTGTGGGAAGGGATAAATACAGGTTCTCTCTCTCTCTCTCTCTCTCTCTCTCTCTCTCTCTCTCTCTCTCTCTCTCTCTCTCATACACACACACACACACTCACACCATGAAGCCATATGGATCCCAAGCGAGACACTCCATTGGGGTTGTCTGCTTCGTAAACCTATGAGGTGCATTCCAGCTATTCAAGATTTCCACATTTCCAGTGCTGCATCTTTTGGTGACTGCCAAGAGATAGCTGATGCAGATACAGGGCTAGGTTGCCTTGACATCCACTTTGAAACAGCATCAAGAATTAGGTGGAGGTTAGCAATAATCTACCTGGAGGAACAATAGCCTACTTCTAGTAGAACACAAGAACAACTGTGGTGCTGGACACACCAGAGGACAGCCAATTTAAAATACACACGTAATAGAGAAGCACGGTGTGCTTGTCAAAGCCCTACTTTGTGCTACAAGAAAAGTGGCCATTAACTCTCAGGGCTTCCGTATCCAACCCACAGAGAGGAAAAACAGCCCGAGGCTTATAGATCCATGATGGTCCCGGCCTGGTTTCTCTGATGCCATCACGTATTTTAGGATCCTTTCTCTCTGTGGATCTACATCTTTGCACATTGCATCCCCAAATGCTCATTTGGGGTCAACAGGAGTGGAACTTCTACCAGTATGTTTCACAGATTTGGTTAACTGAGCGCATCATAAGCCTGAAGAGATCCGAAATTCCTTGTTTCCCCCCTTTTCTCTACAAAGAAACACATGTTTAAAAGGACATGCATGGATCAAGAGTACATTTGAACACAAACATTTGCATGCACTTCCAACTTCTAAGCAAGTTTACTTGTAAAACCCAATGGGCTTATTCCTCAGAAATGTGCATGGAACTACAGCTACTACCCCTTCCACTTAAGATAATACATGTACTGCTTCCTAACTCCTACCTAACTGCCCTTCCTCATGGTGCCTCCCCAGCATAACAACAATTCTTTACTTAGGAAAAATGAAGTAACAAAGAACCGACGAGGGCTTGATTTAAATATGATTTAAACAGAATCTTTTCTCTCTCTCTCCAAACTGATGCGTTGCTTTTATTTATTTCCTTGAAAAAGAAAGAAAGAAGAGGGAAGATGAAGATGCCTGCCATACCTCCAAGGCTGCAGGAAGGTACTTTAAATCAATATCAACACACACACAAGCACATACACACACACACCCTCCTAAGATTCATAAATTCACACAGGACGGCTGATGTTTCTTGATACCCATTTATGGACTAGAAGATAATCCTCTTGAATATATAAAATCTGGAACCAGCAGAACAACCAATCAACATTAAGAGAGAGTGAGAGAGAAAGAGAGAGAGAGAGAGAGAGAGAGAGAGAGAGAGAGAGAGAGAGAGAGAGAGAGAGAGATCTTTCTCTCAAAACAGAGTTACTTGCATCCTGGCAATTCTCTTCTTTCTCCACACACTAGTATTTTCCCTGCCTGTAGTAGAAGCTTATGCCACCAGATGTTTCTGCAAGATTTCATTTAAAGCTAAGAAAAATTGCTTTGAGCTACATGTTGTATTTTTTTTTAATCCGATGCCTCCCCCCCCCCACCCTTTCAAACAGCAGCGTGGAAGGCAGGCGGTGAGATGGGAGGGAGTGGGGGGGGGGGAGAAATCCTACTTCTTTTATTACAATGTGACTTAATTAACTATAATGCATTGTTCCTATAAGCATCTAAGCAGCCGGCTGCCTATTGAGAAAGTGGAGTGAAAATGTTTACTTGCCTATCCATGAGCAAAACAGGAAACTACACGGAGAGTGCTCAGCCAGGGAAATTTACCTTTGAAACAAAACAAAGCGGAAGCGTGAAGCAAGGTACCCCGATGCGTGCGCGAAGCACCCCTTTATATCGGCGGGAGTTGTTTGTTTGTTTGAATCTGAAGCTCATTTGGAAAGGAATTATGAGCATCATTCCTTCTCCATCCCAGGGCTTGTCAGAAAGACAATCCGGTCCGTGCCATTGTCTCCATCGGCACCCCCCACCCCAAGGAAAACGTCCACCGGAATACGACCTACTCTTCCCGGAGTGGGTGGCTTTCGAGGCGGGGTGGGGTGCGGTGCGGTGCGGTGCGGTGGGGGAGAAGGCGGCTTTACAATCCCTGCGGTCCATGAAGAACCCAGACGGAATGGAGAGGAGACAGAGACAAACACAGAGACAGCATAGAACCAGGACCGCTCATCTGGCGGAGCAGCGCCTGACCAGGAAAGCACCTCTGATATCCAGGATTTCTTCCATAGCTGAAGCTCTTTTATTAGCCTTTTTATTTTTTATTTTTTTGAGAGAGAGAGAGAGAGTGAAAGGGGGAGCGAGCGAGAGAGGGAGAGGGGGAGAGGGCGAGAGAGAGGGAGAGGGAGAGAGAGAGATGTTAATTTAAAAAAATCAGCACACCTCGCATTGTTTGGTTTACTTTTCCTCTCTCTCTCTCTCTCTCTCTCTCTCTTTCTCTCTGCCTTGCCTCTAAAACAAAAGCTTTCCTTCTTTCTTTTTCTAGCCATTACTGGAAGGAAAAGTCGAGATGCTTGGCTTTGCAGAAACATAAAAATAAAATGTAAAAAAAAAATCACAAGAACAAGACTCATAAGAACAAGAATAATAAAGGAAACGTAAAATGCAAGGAAGGGGGAGCCGTCCTGCAAAAAGGACAAAAAAGCAAAGAAGAAGAAGAAGTGTGGGGGAGAAAGCAATGCAAAACAACAACAAAAACAAACAAACAAACAAACAAAAACCCGCTTGGCTTCTGCGAAATGCGACCGCTCCCCCGTGCTCGGTTACCACAATAGACATTCACTCTCTCTCAAAGAACCATGCGCCTCGCGCTATTTATAGCCAAGGCAGGGACTGGAATCTACCACTAGGCAGCAGACGGGGGGTGGGGGTGGGGTGGGGTGAAGGGAGAGGCGGGGGGGGGGGTCGGGGGGACTGAAGCCAAGGAAAGTGCCCCCCCCCGTCCCCCCACCTTCCCCCGCGGCTCTCCATCCATCTCCGCGCACGGGGATCTGCCCTCCCTCCCCCCTCCCCCTCCCCCCCCAGTCTCGCTGGCATTTTGAACCGATCCAGCCTGTTTAAACGGAAAGGACAGAGATCTTGCCTGTTCAATGTATAAAAAAAATCAGTTCAGACCTAGAGAGAGAGAGAGAGAGCGAGCGAGAGCGCGAAAGAAAGAGAGAGAGGGAGCGAGAGCGAGCGAGGAGGGTGCGGGAGAGCGAGGGGGGAGGAGAGAGTGAGTGAGTGAGTGTGTGTGTGTGTGCGCGAGAGAGAGAGTGAGTGAGTGAGTGTGTGTGTGTGTGCGTGTGTGTATGCGAGAGAGAGAGAGAGAGAGAGGGAGAGAGGAACAGAGGAAGCGAAGGGGGGGGTGGGAAAAAAAGGAAAAGAAGATTTTTCTCTATGTATATAAAGATGGCCACGTTAGCAAACGGACAAGCAGACAATTCAAGCCTCAGTAGCAACCACCCTAACCCCAGCACCAACGGGCACATGAACGGATTAAATCACAGTTCAGGGAACACATCCACCATTCCCATGAAGGACCATGATGCGATCAAGCTCTTTATTGGGCAAATCCCTCGCAACCTGGATGAGAAAGACCTGAAACCTCTCTTTGAAGAGTTCGGAAAGATCTATGAACTGACGGTGCTGAAGGACAGGTTTACTGGCATGCACAAAGGTGAGTTCGCTTCCTTAACTTTCCCTTATGCACAGGGGGCTGCCGAGGGGGTGGGGGACGGATCTCGCTCGGTTGCAAGCCCATAAAGAGAGCTTGTGTTCGCGTGTGTGTGGGGGGTGTGGATGTGTGGGGGGTGATCTCTCTACAGCTCGCTGTTCCCCAGTGAAGAGGGTGGTCTGAAAAATATACTGGATCTAGGAAGGAGTCCAACTGGGAGAGGAAGGGAGGGACCGCGCTCCTCTCCCTCGGAGCGCATAGAAGAGAATGGAAGGAGCTGTCCAGGGACGATGGTGCTGAAGCGCGTTCCTGCGCTTTTGGGTTGCGTGGACGGTGACCAACCCGGGAGGCGTTTGTTTGGGTGGGTGGGAGTCCGGGGGACCTGGCTTCGATTTTATTTTATCAGCAGCAAGTTCTGGACCAAGGAAACGTCGGACCCCAAAATAAAAATACAGGGATGCAAAGGTGTTTGCGTGTGTGTGTGGCACGGGGTGTGTAAGCGGACCGAATGAGTGTTATGATTTTCTGCGCTTTCACTCGAAAGAAGCAGCTGTACAATCTCAGGCAGACAGCGAGAAATCCACAATGTTGTAGAGCTGGAGAGGGAGAAAGAGAGGAGAGAATTCCTCAGCGAGAAGGGACGTTGTAGGGTTACATCCGGATTGAAGTATGTGGGTGTTCAGGCATCCACTCCGAGAAAGATTGAGAGAGGGAGGGAGGGAGGGGGAGAGAGAGGTGGTGTTTTGCCAGCAGCAGAGAAAAGAACTCGGGAACTTTTTAAAATGACTGTGGTGAAGATCAACATATTTTTTTTCCCTTTAGGGTGCCGTGGGACCTTTCTTTTATTTCCTGGCTCACTTGGGGCTGGGGGAACCGTGTGCCACCTATCCTGGCTTTCTCTGCAATGCTTCGATGAATAGTTTAGAGATTACAGGGGGGAAGGAAATGCGTGTGCTCGGAGTGGGGGGGGGGCGTGCAAGCGGATATTGATCACCACAGGAAAGTGGGACAGGAGCAAGTAAGTTGGATGCAGTTGGTGTACATCGGGGCTTAGAGATCAGGAACTCGTGTCTGATGGGTAAGGGCTGAACTTCTCCCTTCGGCTTCTTTTCCCTCTCCCCTCCCGCACTGCTTTTTTCTTGGTTGGTTTGTTGGATGGCCGTTTGGTTTTTCTTTGTTTTTCTTTCTACTTGGCTCCGAACAGGAAAGTAATCAAAATAGATCAAGACGAGCCCACGGAAAACTTAGATAACAAATACCGAAAATGCAGAAGAAGGAAAGGGGTTGGGAGGCTAGGCTGAGAATTTGCCTTCTGAGTTCAAGTCCAAGGAAGAAAAGAAAGAAAGAAAGAAAGAAAGAAAGAAAGAAAGAAAGAAAGAAAGAAAATCTAAACAGGTTACATTTCTACCACTTGTCCATTCAGCAGTAAATCTTCAAAAAGTTACGTTTTGAATCCTCCTTCCCCGCATCCGGTAGAGGATGGCTATGCAAACAGAAAGTGATTTTGTTAAAAGAGGAAGAGTTGATGTTGCAGGGTGTGTGTGTGTGTGTGTGTGTGTGTGTGTGAGAGAGAGAGAGAGAGAGAGAGAGAGAGAGAGAGAGAGAGAGAGAGAGAGAGAGAGAGCATATACACAAGAGAAACTCTGCGAATGGTGTACGACAATGAGACCTCTTTCCTCACCCCAAACCCTTTCCTCTTTACCTACAAGCATTACAAATCAGATTCCCCACCACCACTAGCATTCATTCAAGCTTTCTAGAAATCGCATAAAGGAGGTAGAGTCATTACATCTGAGTAAGTGAGGGGGAACTGTAACATTTAGTTTCAATATCTTACGATGATGTCTTTTAGGGGTGTTTTCTTTGTTCCTTGTTTCTTTCTTTCTGTAAATCAAGGAAAGTTTATCAAACATTCCTAAGTCAATACAAATTAGACATTGGAAGAGCCCTCAGCAGAAAAAATGCAGAGCAGGAGAAGGCATTTTTAACATTTTTTAAATGCTCTAACACTATAATAGATATGCATACTCACATGCACATGCACACACGGGGCGGGGGGAGGAATTATCACTCACACACAAGATTATTTTATGATGATATATCCTTAATAGATAAGAACCTGAAAGATAAAACTTTTCTATCTTGTCTAAGTTTTGGCAGCCAAGGGTTAACTATTCAACCATGAAGTAGTTCTGTTGAATTATTTATTTAGCCTAATTTTAGTGTGGCTATTTCATTGTGTGTTTCATGTAAGCCACACAAAACTCTAGCAATTGGAAGTGCTACAGAAATAATCTGAATTAAATTGGCTTTACTGGAAGCCAGAAAACCTGAGCCTTTTGACTCTCAGTGATCGTGGTCCCAATCTCCAGGGAAAGAGTTTACATTTTCTGGGTAGGCTAGTTTAGAGCAGGGTCTTGCCAAAGAGGTACTTAACTTTCACTTCTATGCATCTTACAACATTTCAAGGCAAACCTTTCTGACTGTTGAAGTATCAAAGTATGAGCCTTCCAGCCCAGTTTGCACAGGGATAAGTCTGTTTAGCAGCTAGGTCCACCAAATAGATACGTACTTAAATTCTCAGAGCAGGAAGGGAAACAATGTGTAGCTAACCCGTCTGAACACCTATCTCTATTCCTATGGCATGGGCGGCAGATTTGCTATAGTTTTCACAGGATCATAGGGCTGAAAGTCTTGGACTTACTTCGCCCATCCGAGAAGAACCTGGACTGCTTTGCTGATGCCACAGATGTATCAGCTAATCCTGCCTCTGGCTACCTACTTGCCGGAAGGTGGCGGGGGGGGGAGATCTGCATGCCACTGGTGATTAATTACTGTAAAGTTAAAAAGCATGACAGGGTTTTGAGGAAAAAGGATTGTATTTTGCTTCTAATTTCCCCCTTCTTCCTTTGCCATGACTGCCTTTAAATCATAAACTTAGGCAAAGCTAAGGATCCGTGGCAGCTTCTCTCTCTCCCATTAATGTCCCATGTCTTTCTCCACTCATTTGGTTTGTGTACTGTATCTGACAAAGAAAGGCATTTTGCTGGGTGAGGTATAGACTAATTCCCCTAGCAGCTTTTATTCATAGACTTAGGCTATCATGTACCCAACCGAAATCTCGTAAGGAATGATTGGGTGCAATGATTTTGTATATGGAGGTTGCAATTAGATTTTGAAAATTATATTACATTATAGGTCCAGAGATAACTTCACTGTACTCCACAGTGCAACTGTCTTTCTCAGTGCATAGTAGTTCTTGCTCTGTTGAATTTGGAGTTTCATTTGCTTATTCATGTTTGTCCAAGATATTTTAAGGCCACAATCCATAAATTCCTATGAGCCAGCTGCTTCCTTTGAGTTAAGGAAGTTACTTCTCAGAAGGTATGCACAGGCTTGTACTCTAAATATAGGAAGAGGGGAGAAAAACTGGGTACGGCTAATTTTGAAAATACCAAGGGTAAGGGGTACTTGTCCCCTAATGCATTTCATGGAACTGGACTTTTTATCCAGGTGCAAGGAAGGCATATGGATTTTTAATTTCAATAGGTATACGAGAAGTCCTGATAAAATATTATCTGAATGTGCCTCTCACCGAACCAACTTAGATGTTGGTAGTCATTTAATATTTCCTTTTATTCTTTTTAGAGATGGGTGGAGAGTTGGCAAAGACCATGTTGGGAGTTTTGTTCACAGCTCACCTGGTTTCCTAAGAGGCAGAAGTCTAGGCAACACAAAATGCCAACCTCGTGTAAAGCGCTATTCATACAACACACACAACTACGCACGCAGAGCCAACCACTAACCGTTCATCCATTCATCCATCCATTCATTCATAACTCCCCCTCCCTTCCCACCCCATAAGCAACTAGTCGCCAAGGCTGCTTAAGGTCTGAGTTACCTGGAGACATTAAGGTTAGTGCTCTCAGGACAGACATATTATTATGCATTATCTCTGGAAATAATTTAAGACCAATTAAGTGGCATTTGAGTCTAATATTTATAAATGAATGAAATCAAACATAGGACAGTCCTAAGAGGTTTGTAAGACAATTTTTTTCATCATCCATGCCTGAAACATACCCAAGGGCCGCAGTGCGTTTTAACAAGATGTGCTAGCTTTTCATAATATTCTTCTTAGGGAGTCAGGACAGATTTCTTAGTGAGATTTAGTAAAACAAACACAGGATTTAATGCACTTAATAGAGCAGAGTAGTAAGAGGGATGGAAAGTAGTTAGACCTCTGCTACCTTGTGTGTCCTTTCAAACATCTTCTGAGCAGAGCATCTCCTACAGAAAGATCCACAGCCATCACCAAGACAGTGGGATACCCCCCACCCACATGAAAGGCCAAACCTGCCAAACCACACAAATACACAAAGCTGAAAAGAAGTCAGTGAGGAGGGTGGTGGGCAGCCGAACAGTTTGTTTCAACTGTTGTCTATGCCTCTTCTCAGTCTCATAGGTAATTTTCAGACTCAAAAACACCTGGTCTTGTAAGCCCACAAATTACCCAATTCATGATAGTCTCTTTTATTAGAGAGAAGCCAGAGTGGGAGAGACAGATGTGAATGAAAGCTTTGTTCAACCTCAGTGCAATATCAGTTTTCAGGTTAGCTGTGAGATTTAGAAGTGCAATGATTGTTAAATTAAGATGCACTGTACAGAGCGATAAAAAAAGACTCGGGGAAATGAAAATGTACTCGAAAAGGGACACAGCTAAATACAGGTGTTGAATAAATGCGTCCATAATTGAAACATGAGGCTTGCATGACCAAAAGCAACATGCTTCATCTTTAGGAGGCTTGTAATCCAGTTCAAGTTTCAGGGAGGGAATATGCACAACACATACACACGCCTAGACACACACCTACATCGAAGTGTGAAAGAGCATTCTACCTGGAGCCAAAACTAGCTGTTAAACCAGCAAACCACAGTGGGCTGGTTATATGACAGCGGAATAGAGGCTCATCCCTATGTCTGTTAGAAAGGGAAATTCACAA